AATACATTTGCAACATTTCAGCACAGAAATGTTGTCAATGTGTCAAGCAATCTGGAAAGTGATGTATTTTTGTTTTCACTGACATAACAATCAAATGATATCAAATTGCCTTTCATACTGATGAAGAACAGCAGAAGCAAATCTTCCCTTTTCAGCAGCTTGATCCTGTCTGTGAACTTTTATTAATAAAAGGGGGTTCTCTGCGCTGTTAGAGCAGAATAAACGACAAATTGGATAACAGTCGTAAAGACACATCGGAACATCATACACATTTTTTTTTTTTTACAGGAGTGCTTCATACAACAGATATTTTTTACAGTGGGGACGGCTCAGACGCAGAGAGACCATGGGGATACAAATCACGTTTTATGCCATGCTCTCCATGTGGTGGTCCTATCTCATCTACACACACACACACGCACACACACACACGCACACACACACACGCACAAACACACGCACTTCACTCTCTTTATGATGCCCCTCCATTTCCCCACAGCTCATTAATAATTAATGTCACTGTTGCATGAGAGCATCAGCAGAACAGTGAGTCTGTCCGTGTGCTGTTAGTCCCTCCATCGCAAGTATGAAAGTATAAATATATTTTCTATTAAAACAATATTTCTCATTCACGTTTGCGTCACCATATTACTCAAATTATGTTGTGTCTCTGGCTACTGATAGATCAAAGTAAGACCTAATAGATAATCCCACACTTCTTGTTTTGTTTCATGAACAATCTGTTGACTCCACTGTCCACGTAACTTGATATAAAACTTGTTGTCATATTTATCCTTGATTTGTTTCCGACTGCATAGCATAGAAATGTTTTATAACCTGATTCATGTTGAAATTTGATGATGAGGCTGATGGTTTATTAGGCGATCCATTTTTGCTGAAGAGGATGACACAGCTCATTACCGACCCATTGAGTGTGACTGTCCACCTTTATCACTTCATTAAGTCAGTGATATGCTACTCTTCTTCCATTTTTAAAGAACCACACAGCTAATAAGGAGGCAGCAACAACCACTAACATCTGTCATTAAGAGCTGCTTATAAATATACTGTGTATGCCTTATGGCGACAACATGAGAGACAGATACAGAGGGGGACACAGATAAGGATGAATCAACAGGCTTCCGGTCAAACCTCTGGAGCTGAGTGGGAGACTTTGATGAGTCACCATAGACCACACACATAAAGATAAGACGGACATCATGGGGTTCGCCCTCCATCAATACAGATCAGGGAGCGCTCGTCATTCAGATCAGACAGAGCACGTCAACGGCCCGAAACCAGAAATCATGCTTACATGACCCGTCACAAAACTGTCCTGACAGAAACTGCTCACTATGAAAAATGAACCAGACATGTAAGAATTGGCTGCTTAGTTTTTGGTTGCAGTTTGTAAAATATGTAGATTTGCTACTTTGCTGTTAAAAATGAAAATAAAGCTGAACATATTTGTACAATTAATATGCTGCTCTAGGCCTTTTCCTCTGATTTTATGCTTTTTATACATAGACCTATTAATCAATCAATCGCATATTAATCTACAATAATGAAATATGTAGCATCAGGGCTTGATACAGGTATTGTTATCTGGGAGGAAAAAGCCTCTCTACAATCAAAGCGCTTCTGAAAGTACCAGCCTGAATTTGGCCAGACAGCGAGTCATCAGCTATGATTGATCTGAGAATAAACGCTGGAGGAAATGAAAGTAGAGGCATTTTGAAGAACAAAAGTGAGGGCAAAAAGAAGTAAAAATGTACAGTCCTAAGCAAAGATGCAGAATTGATTTTCTTCCTGCATTATTCGAATTTGGCTAACAGCTCTATAAAAACAAGCTTATCTTGCACTTCAGATCAAAAAAGATATCTGAGCTATTTAACACTGTTTAGATTTGATTTGCATCCATTTGCATGCACACAGCCACAACTTGCACAAATTCAAATCTCATTATGCAAGCGGATGAAGGTCTACTTGCACAAGCCTCATAACAAACTCCCACCTGAAGCCACTTCCTCTGTCACACTTTTGCATTTGACCACACAGCATCTCATGCATGGCCTCATTTTTCCAGCAGGTAACTCTCTTCCTTTTCAAAAACCATCATCAACGCTCTCAAATCGATGTCCACGCTGACCTTGAGTCCTGCACAGCGAAACTCAAAACCCCCGCGATAGCCTGTTCAGCAGAGAGAGAGAGAGAGAGAGAGAGAGAGAGAGAGAGAGACTGCAGCAGTGCAATGTGTGTGGAAAAAAACAAACACACACAGATGCAGACCAAGCACGTGTGTTTGCAAGAGTCAGCATCCAGACACAAACACAGACAGTCATTGCAATCGGGGTGACATGAAATAAAAATTCACCTGTATGTGTGTAAGTAGCAGGATGACAACACTGCATGTCATAATATAAGCATGAAGGTAATTAACTGTTTCTTTACACTCACTCGCTCTGAGGAAATGCACCCTTCCTTAATAAGTTACGTAATACAAGAGGCAGCAGTATTACTCAAGCTGTGACCCGCCTGTCACACTCAAGAAACCACAACAACGTTATATTATGTCCTGTCCGTCCTGTCAGGGGCGATTTTATACGTAACATTGCACTTTAGCTAATTAAAACCATAATTCTACCCCTTTAAACGTGTTGTATGTCCTAATTACTGACTGAGCCACAGTCTGCTGCACTCACTTACACTCTGCTCCCTTATATTTATAAGTTATGTGCCCAGAAAATACCAGTCTTGTGCCAAAAAGCAAACTTAAGCTCCCTTTCTGAACTTAACCATTACCGGTGTAAACACCAACAAAGCCGCGGTCTTATCCGAGAAAAGACGTCATAAAGCTACGCACTTTGAATTAAAATAAACAGTTAATATCTGTTACTTACAGTTTCAGGTGTTTTCTGCGATTAAATATCCGTTTTAAACAAAATAAAACTGTTATAAAGAGAGCCTCCTCCTCAGCCTGCCGCACTGTGTACGTGTGTCTCCCTCCGACTGTGGGCGTAGCAGCAAAAGCAACTGACCACGCCCCCCTGCGTGCAATTTTGGTGGCGTCATCACGCAAACTGGACGGAACACCAAAAGGGTCAAAGCTCAAGGTTTTCCTGGTGTGATTTTAAAAAACATTTTTTCAGTCATCAAAAAGGGAAGTGAATTGAGACTTTCTGATTAACTTTTACAGGGACAATTTTACCTTGATTAAATTCATTAAATTAATTCAATTTTATTTAATTCTAATTTTTTTATTTTTTTTATTTCAATTTATTATATATTTTCCGGACAGTTTGGTTGCAACGTTATTGAACATGCTGAATTAAGAATAAAGTCCACTACCGGGTGTTATTTCGAGGTGAAAAATTAGCAAACACTTTCTCCAAAACAGCTCTTACATGCAACAAAACACTAACATTGGATTTTCACCTACAAAAAGCTGTAAGACAACCAAAACCAACATTTATCAAATTTAAAATGACCTCAAATTCTTCTCCGTTGTTTTTTGTTTTCATTAAACTACTGAATTTCCCTCCTCCTGAAACGGTGCACAAACAGCACACTGGAGAAGGTGATGTTGTCTTCTGCTGCCATCAAGTGGAATTTGTGTGATACTACAGTTTTTTTTGATAATGCACGAGTTACCACCTGAAGTTTTTACCACTGACATGTTGTGTTGGAGCCATTTTGGTGTTTATCGTTGGCATGTTGTATAATTAGATTTATCTGAATATATTATTTTCCACTAGGGACACTGAGGGGGTGTATATATAGTGGCACAGGTGACAGGAAAGGGAAGGCACAGGTAGGGGGAGCACAGACAGTTCTCACCAGACCAGCACTCAGACAAACTACAATTCATTCATTCTACTGGCTTCACTGGAAATGTTTTTTGTTCTCATATCTCAATCAAGTCACTTCAGTAAACCTTCAACTCAACTTTAATAACGGCTGGAAAATCATTGTTTGCACCTGCGTAAGACTTCACTCCTACCTGAGTATTAATGGCAATAATTGGAGGGATAAAAGCAATAAAAGGAAATAATTGGAAAATTGCCATTACATGTTGCATGTATGGTTATTTTATTTGTGTTTGTGCCTGCGATTGTATGTATGCTTTGTGTTCATTGTTTTATGTTTTGCCTTGCCAATCTTATAACAGAAAATAACATTTTTGCTTAAGCAGGGGTGGATAAAGTACATTTAACTTGGTCCATTTTGGTTATTTCTCATGTAAAGCCCTATGGGAAAGCCACTGCTAACAGTGGAATTAATGTGGTACAGCAGGCTCTAACAATAATTCATATTATACTTTTAGAAAGACAAGAACTAATCAAAGTAGGAGAAAACACCTCCAGAAATGGACCATCAGCATCACTTGAATGCATCATTAGTCTGTTTGCTAATCAGTGTAACAGATTGTTGTGTTTGTTATTTTGTATATCTCATTCGCTTTTAGAGTGAGGTGTCCCTAGAGAGTTGCCGTAGCTGCCACCAATGTAACCGAGCTTCCACTTTATTTCACACACCCACACACACCTGTGTACCGGTGTAACAGGATAACAACAACTACTGCTTTACGGCAGCTACGGTAACTCTCTAGGGACACCTCACTCTAAAAGCGAATGAGACATACAGTACATGTAACAAACACAACACAGCGGGACGTCCAGCAGCTCCTCGGGCAGACGGGACATCCAGCCGGCTGCTGCCGCTCTCCCTCCTCCATGGCCTTCCTCTGAAACATTTAGCTATTCAAGGCAATCAGTTATTCGCTAAATGTTTCATATTTTTCATTTCGGTAGTGTAACATCCTCATTTGATCTCGACTTGTATCTTAAACGCCGTATGTTTACAAAAGTCTTCCGTCTTTATTTCTGTTCTTCTTCAGTGGAGTGTAATGGCGGTTAGCGTCCATAATTGGCGCATTATCGCCCCCTAGTGGATTAGATCAGCAGTGCACAAACTAAAACTTGCTGTTTTAAATAAATAAAACCGAATTAACTGAGCTATAGGAGTTTATGTTCGAAATTAAAGCCAAGTAAACAAAGTAAAAACATGCTAATTAACTATATTAACAACAAACAAGACACATTTGAAAGTTCTATGGGTGTTAAAGACTGTTTTAAAATCTTGTTTCATTCAATCTTGCAATGTACAAGCGGTACTCTTCCGTGAGTCTAACCTCCAATTTGTACAATTTAATAGTAATTGAAGCTTCACATTGAATGCAGTATCTGCTATAATTTGTTTTTTTCATATGAAGGGAGAAATGTGATATCAAGATAAAGTAGATTGTTGTTTTTTTGTCAGTCACTTTAATGTGAAAATCGAGTAGGATAACCGAGAAACAGCAAATAGGATTTCAAAGTACTGCATTCATTGGTTTACCATTAATCTTGTTTACTAATTTGGTTGTAAGGAAGCCTAATGAGTTCACATTAGAATAAAAAGTTCACCTTGTTTTTCTGAATAACAAGGTTATTGCCTTCGATTCCAAGAAAAGTTTGCATGGGGAAAAACAAATTCTGCACTTGTTTTCCAGGTGAGATAGAACAGTGCAGGGTGTAATCAGACTGTGTCTCCAAGTTGTTTTTTGCTCTAATTTATTACACAATTTGAATGAAATCATAAGACTTACAGGACTGCTGACTTCACATGATCCATGTGAAGGCTGTTGTACTATTAGATTACCATGACATATGACCATGACCATGACAAGTCCATTTACCAATGGTAAATGGACATGAGCTTATATAGCGTTTTTTTCTAGTATTCCAAGTGCTTTTACACCACATGTCACACCCACCCATTCACATGGGGCAATGTGAGCAACGGTTGAGAGGCGACGACTCTGCCAGCTGAGCCACATGCCGCCCATGTGGCTACATTTTTTCACGAGAGTGCAGAAACTGTCTGTTCCCTCTCATTGAAGTCACCCATCAGATGAATCAAGTCGAACCTTTCAGCTTTTTAATGACACACAGATGGCTGCTGTTTAGCTCTAATGAAACAGCACTTCCCCGAACCATTTAAAGAAACAGTTCTTGTCACTACTGTAAGCGGAGAAAACTCCACAGTATGACTCTCGCTCTTATTTACCATCTAACCTATTTAACCTTCATCAGATGTTCTATGTTACACAGAGGACTTCTAATGAGCCCAGCTCACCTGATGAATACTGCCGTGTCACCAAAATGGTCGAAATGGTTCAGTTAAGTTGATTATGTTAAATGTAATCAAATTAAGAATGTTTTCCCTGATACAGATTTCCAAGTCTACTGCTGGCTACACTGTAGTTAATGTTCGTTAAATGTACAAACAAAAAATAACAGATGAACTCAGGCCAACATGGTTCATTCTAAGTTCTTGATTTATGTCATTCGGAGGAATAACAGATGAAATCAAACATCTCTTCCTCGTCTCGCCCTCTCTATGTTTGAATGCAGCTGAAGTCAGCAAGAATAGCTAAAGGAAGAGCTCGCCTCATCTCGGGGTTATGATAATGATGCTCGCAGAAGAAAAACCTCTGCAGATTTATACTCAATGACATTTTCGAGCAGAGACAATCCAGACAGATAACTTTGTCAAGCAAAAAGTCAAACACGCACACTGATAAAAAAACGACTCTATAGTCGAGCTTTCTCGTCCTCTTCTAACCCAGTGTCAGTGAAGTGTCACACAAAATTAATTTGTCCTGATAATGTCACATATCAAATCTAATTTGGTGGGAGTTTTCCTCCGTAATGCTTTGGAAGTGAGATGTTGTTTTCAGTAAGATTAAATAATTCCATGATATGCACCGCATAATTCGATAAACACGGCGGCAGTGATAAAGAGTACTTGTTTTGTTTTTAATGAGAAGACATGGAAATTAAATAAACTTATATAACCATAAGGTGAAGTCTGCACGATCACTGTGACCTTAAACCCCCCCTTTTTAAAAAAAAAAACTGATATCTGGTGATGGACTTACTGTAGATAAGTCATTGTTGAGATTTAAAAATGTAAAAGTTAAGTTATTTGAGGGCTTTCTCCTCCATCTGCAAATCAAAACGTGTGAAATGTTTGAAAGTTGGTGGAAAAGCAAGACAGAGATGAAGTGCAGTCTCTGGAGGTGAAACCTAGCAGACAGCTAGCAGCACCAGTTTGTCACTTATAACATCCTCGACCTTAAATACAAACGATTTTAAGACTTTAAGACGATTTTAAGATTGAACTTAAATCTTTGACTTGTGTCAAAAAACACCATGAAGGGATAATTCATCTTTAGAGACCAGAACTGTTTGTGTAACGAAGCTGGAAGCATTTTAAAATCTGTTTTAAGTTTGTCATTTTAACATGATTAATGGGGAGTGACTTACCTTTGGAGCAAGCCTCTAGTGGCCATTTGAGGAACAGCAGCATCAGCAAGCTTCATTTTTCCACCTTGTATGTTGCCCCATGATGTAAACACTGAAAAACAGGGAATAAAATGTACTTTTAAGGAAGTAAGAAGTCAGTTGGGACACAGACGAGGAGGATATTTCTCTCCTGAGTTTTGGTAAGTATGGAGGCCTGAGAGCACACGAGTAATGTTTGTGTTTTTAATCATCATATTGTCTTGTGATGAATGAGAAAAGTTTCTTTCCTGCCTTTCTTTATAAAGTGAAATACGTATTTGAGTGTGTAAACTTGCAGATATCTTGTAAAGCTCTTGACATATTTTTCCTCTTTAAGTGATTCATGTTCAAAGAATTCAGCATCGAGCAGTCCTGTGATTCATGGAGATTTTCCAGCATTTTGTATTCAATTTAAAGCAGGTTAAATTGAATCTGCCCTGCCCACTTCAGTCACATGACTGTCTTCTCTATCCTGCTTCAAAGTTAAAGGCAGATGGACTCCAGAGCTCCGCAGAGACCTCAGGACTCGGATTCTCCTCTGACACTCAGACTGCTCTGACAGGTAAGAGGACCGTCTTTACACCTTTGTATTCACTTCTTTTCCTCCAGTCCTTCATAAAAGGTAGACACAAGTTGTGGTGATTTGAATCCTGCTTTTAATCTTCCATGTCTGTGATGTGGGAACCTTTTTAACCTCTTGTAATATTTTGTGTCAGATCTGTGTCTTATAAACAGTTTAATCTCTAAATTCCCAGTGATTAAGAGATAATAATTCAAGTTTCTGAGGCATTGTGATGGGATTATTTTTAAATTACCTGCTGTCATTTCTGTCACATATTTCGAAATCGCCTTAATATCTGTATGATGCTGCACAGATTTTTAACTTACATCAGGTAGCTTCAGATGCAGAAATGGATGTTTAAAAGTATGATGGGGCAGAAAATGAGTACCAATGGTTTAAAGTAATCCAACGGGGTGTTCAGGGTTTTCTTATGATGTAATCTGACAGTATAAAATCCATAAAAAGACAGATGGTGGGTCTGCATAGGGGGATATGAAAGGGTACAGGGGGTTTAGAGAAGAGGGTATTTGGTATTGTGGGGGTCAAAAGAGATACAAGGCACTTTAAGAAGAGTATGGATGGTTTTTAGATCTGTAGGTAGAGTTATGGATGAATATAACGGTCTCAAAACGGGTTTGGGTTTAGAGGGATTCAAAAGGGAAACGCATTTATTATGGAGTGTTGATGATTCAGAGGGTTTGAGAAAAACAAAGACAAAAACCTGGCCTTCATTTTCCATCTTTTTGTCCACCACTTGATATTTGTCCTCTCTGGTTCCCATAAAAAAATACATTTAACATCCTTAAAGGCATCAACATGTTTCAAATGTACCCACATGGGTGCCTGGCTGGGGTTTTGATGTTTGTTGAGGTTCATTTGGATCTGATGTCTTTCGAAAATGCAGAGAAACTGATGAAAAAATGGTTTCGGGATTGATTTGGAAACATCTTTATCCAACCTTTTTATCTCCCCAAATTAGCGAAACTATGTTCTGATGAATAAACCCACAATCCATCACTGACAGGGCGTCACCAACATGTCGTAGAAAAATGAAAACTCTGACTCAATATTTCACTTGACTCGTTGAAGACAAAGATGTTTTTGTTGCTCCTGTTTTAGCACCCGCTAATTGTCCTCAAAACAACTCACTTAGTTTGATCAAATGATTCCCTCCATGAAAACTTTCCACTCTTGTCCTTCCTTCAGAACTTAATTTTCACACGTTATGTAACAATTGACCCCTAAAGCACTTTTCAATAATCAGATCAGTAACGTCCTCAATCCTCTTCCAAACTAATTTGTAGTCTAATGGATATTTCAGTGATAACTTAAACATCTTGACTTCATTTATCTTTCCTTCATGTCGTCGAAATTTGGTGTCACATACAAATGACAATTCATTCTCGATCTATGATGACCAATCCTTTATTTGGAATTCAGAGGAAAGTAAACCAGATTTAAAAGTCACATCATCTCAATTAATAATGTGGAATGTTTTTGCCCTACAGTGTTTGCTCCTGTGCGGGTTGTTTGTGACATTCCTCGGCCTAATTTGTTGTATGTTGTTCTCAATTAAGTTTCCAGAGAGGGGCTGATTTCTGCACCTGACACGGTCATGGATGTATACAAACATGTTATCTGAGATATTACTGTACTGCTTTAGCTGCTGTCAAATAACACCAAACTAATCTGTATTTGGAATTTGAATTGCTTTTCCTTTTTCTTTTCTTTTTTTACGACAGATTTGAGTCAAAATGGTCGAGCAGTACAACTGCACCAACTGTAAGGAGAGCCTGTTCGGGAAAAAGTACATTCTGAAGGAGGAGCACCCGCACTGCATTCAGTGCTACGAGGCTCTTTTCTCCAACAACTGTGAAATGTGCAAACTTCTCATTGGATGCACCAGCAAGGTAAAAGTTTAAATCTGGATTCAGTCAGTGAAGGTCAACCATTCACTTTCATGTTTAACCATTGATGTTTGCTGATCTCTGAAACGTTCATACATTAAACATTTCATTGACCTGTTCTTTGACTCTGACACTATTAATGTAAATCCTTAACTTCCTAGAAATGTCCCTTCATATAGTTAGTTTTGTTTCACAATGTTAGCAGAACGGCTCATGAAGTAGCATGGTTGATTGGTTTGTCAATAGATCGTTGTACCATTTTGTCCGTACTCCGCAAATTATTCAATGGATTGCTGTGAAATGTGGTGCAACCATCCATTACACCTTCAAGATTGATTGCAGAAAAGTTGGTGTTCCTTTGACTTTCCATCTAGCGCCACCATCAGGTCAAATATTTTGCGTTCAACGTCCATTGTCGCTGTTGAATACTTAAGATGGTCATGACCAAACAGGAAAAGTCAAGGCTTAAATCAGTCTTTTTCAAACCAATGGATGTCCTCAGAGTAGCTTTACATACTTCTCTTATATCGTTGTTGGTGTTGAAAGGTAAAAAAATAACTTTGGACAAAAAAAAGCGGCATCTTTTAGTGAATCAACGTTTTTTTTTTTTTTATGAAAACAGTTGTTGGGAGTGAAAAGGCATACACTGATTCCAGAGGCAATGACAAAATAATTTGGTCATCAAAATGATATAATATAATTATTCCTCTATTGACTTCTCAGGATCTGTCCTACAAGGACCGCCACTGGCACAGCGACTGCTTCCTCTGCTCCAAGTGCGAGCGGTCTCTGGTAGATCGGCCCTTTGCCACCAAGGACGACCTGCTGATGTGCACCGACTGCTTCGCCAGCGAGTACTCAGCCAAATGCAATGCATGCCTGAAGACCATAATGCCAGGTGAGAGGGCCTGATCCCACCTGGAGTCAAAGTTTGGTTATTTGAGGATAGATTGGGTCACAGTGTGGAGGAAAATGTTTGTAAGCTTGGCTTTTCCTTCCCATATTTTGTCTATGATCTTGATATCTGCTGCCCTATTTTCATCATTTGGATCCAATTAGAAACCCCTAGGTAGATTTAGTTAGTCAGCAAACTTCATTTAGCTGTAATTGGTTTAGGTTGACCTGAATGCCAGGAGGACAGAGGGGCCTACTGTACATTTAATTATGTAAGAAGACATAAAAACTGAAGTAGAAAATGTCTGTTTGCATGGCAGGAAAAGCTAAAGAAAATATATTGCTGATAACTAAGAGACTAAATCTTTAGTGAGGCCTGTTACACTCTAACAGCATCTCTCTGTCCTCACCAGGAACTAAGAAGATGGAGCACAAGAATAACAGCTGGCACGAGAATTGCTTTGCCTGTAACCGTTGCCAGCAACCCATCGGCACCAGGAGCTTCGTCCAGAAGGACCTCAAAAACTTCTGCCTGCCCTGCTACGAGAAGCAATTTGCCCAGCAGTGCGTCCACTGCAAGAAGGTAAAACAACATTTAGCTGCAAATCAATTACTTTTTTTTTCTCTTAAGTTGAGCTGAAATCAATTTTTCTTCTACAAATGCACTGATTTTGTTTTCACTTAATGCTTGAGAAGTTGCAGAGAGTTCACTAACGAGCAAATCCTCCTTCTGCAAGATAATAATAAAATAATCCATATTCAATTATGAAAAGCAAACAAGAAACAGTCCCTTGGTTAGGGTCAACATTTGATGGGTAAAATATTTTCATGAAACTGATATTGTGTGAAGTGTTTAAACCTAATGTGGGGTTTAAGGCTGTGAAATTCATAATATTTAAATTGATTTTCATGTCTTGTGCATGTTATGAAGCCAAGTTCACCTCATGAAATGTTTGGAATTTTAAATAAAGTTTTGTGCTTTCTGGGACTAAAACTTTCAGCCTGGACATCCAGAGTGAAAAGAATACAGTGAGTGATGAAAGAGGACTCATATGTCCACTGTATAAGAGCTAAAGACAGGAAACAGATGGTCTCACAGGCAGGAATCTGAGGCGTATTTTTGTGCCGAAAGCTGGTAGGTTAGACAGCAGGCATCTGGCTCGTCAGTGAGTCAACAACTCAGCAACACTCAGCATGAAAGACAGAGAAATGAAGCAGTGAGAAGCTTCACTGGGATGTGCAGGAGCTCTGGATCTTCAGAGACACTCTGTGAGAGTAAAACAACAATTTCCTTTATACAGATTGCAAATCTGGGTCCTGCTTCATATGGTTCTGTGTATCATACCGTTAAATCTCAGTGGAGAAAACAGCTTGTCTTCATATTAAATGTAATGATGCTATTTATGTTTCTCCATATAGAAATACAGCACTCATGTTGCAGCAATTGGGCTTAGGTTCTGCATTTTATATACTGATTTGATTTGTGGTTACGTAGTTGCTCACCCCTTAAAATCAACTTTGAGCCATCCTTAAAAAAACCTCAATCTTTCACCTCCATTTTGCATCCCGAAGAGCAAAATGTAAAGGTAAAATGTTTCTGATAATGCTCTTTGTGGATGTGTTCTGTGTGTGTGCAGCAAATCCTAATTTGCAAATGTATGAATTATTTTCATAAAACCCAATCACCATTGTAACTGACTGATTTGGTAGCTGTAAGCTGCTCAACGTTTTAAGCTTATTAAGAGGCAGCTAAAGCTGCAGAAATGATCATAATCTGATCATCTGTCATCAAATATTTAACATATGCGTTACATGAATAGGCTAGTTTTGTTCTGACCTGAATGTACCAGATTGGACTATCGACACACTATGATGGACTGAATCGGCTCAAGCTGCATTCACTTACACTCAGGGCTCCAAATAAGTCACATTAATGGGAAAATAATGGGACAAATTCAATTCTCCTTATTTATGTTTGAACCCCTTATCTTGGAGTTCCGATATAAAGGGTCCAAAAAACTTTTCTTGTGGGAATTCAAAGCGATCCCGTAACAAAACTGAATGAATTATTCATTCATTCTAGTCTACTTTTCTGACAGACATAAATATTCATTGTGTTGTGTTTTTCAGCCCATCACCTCCGGAGGAGTGAACTACCGGGACATGCCCTGGCACAAGGAGTGCTTCGTCTGCATCAGCTGCAAGCAGCAGCTGGCCGGCCAGAGGTTCACCTCCCGGGACGACTTCGCCTACTGCCTCAACTGCTTCTGCAACCTGTTCGCCAAGAAATGTGCTCACTGCACCACCCCCATCAGCGGTAAAGTAGATCCTGTGAATGAGTCATCGATGATTATTCAACAATTTTAGTTCAGTTTAATTTTGAAGTCTCAGTTATGGATTCACGTTTTGTAAAATCTGTTTGGATAAAAAAAAAAAAAAAAACACAGGTGAAAATAAAATATAGCCTCAATCATCATATTTTTTTCTTTGTCCCTTAGGAAATATTACAACAAATAATCTCTGAAAATGAGTGTACAGAGATTATAAAAGGGACTTGCAAGAGACAGATTTTGAAAGTATAAGCAACATGATCAGAGCAGCAGAGGCTGAGTTAAAAACCATCACAGATCCTACATTACCCAGAGTGCAACTCAGCAGTGTTTCTCACTTGTTTGACATGTCTGGTGAAGTATTATTTAAAGCTTTAAAATCTTTGCTAAAAAAACTCTTTTATTGAATCATATCTCTTTACTGTACAGATTTTACACACTATTGTATTAGTTACATGTATGAACCAATGAACCAATCCCAGGTCACATGCTGCCTTCTGCATCCTGTGCATCCACTAACCATCAATTAAAGTCATTACTTAATTACAGAGATCATGAGACTGCTCGTGGGTCTTTGTAGGCCACTCATGGCTCCTCTTTTTTTGCCTTTCCATCAGGTCTCGGTGGGAGCAAGTACATCTCTTTTGAGCAGCGCCAGTGGCACAACTACTGCTTCAACTGCAAGAAGTGCAGCGTGTCTCTTGTCGGCCGGGGTTTCCTGACCTGCAAAGACGACATCCTCTGCCCTGACTGTGGCAAAGACTTCTAAGTCATCTCCAAACCGAACACAGTTGAATGCTAATCAGAGAGCAGCAGCAGTACTTTCCCAACCTGGCCTTTGCTGCATTTATTGCATCATTTATTAGTTTCTTGCTAACCTGCTCCTTCTGCTGATGTATTTTCTTGATATGCTAATGATACTGTATTTTATCTAAATGAGTCAAGGCCTTTATTCTGAACTGTATTTTTTTGCTCCCTTTTGTTCCAATGAAACTCTGTCATTAGAATAACTTAACACTTTCACAGGATAGCTTAAAAGAATGTTAGTTTTTTAAAACAGATCACACCTTTGTTGCAATTGTTTTAATAGAGATGTTATAGTATTACTAATACTGTGTATTCTTATTACATAAAATGTGTTGTAAATCTTAATAAAGAAATTGTGGGCTTTGATGGGTGCTTTTTTGTTGTAAATCATTGTGAGAATATGTTTTTACAATGAAACTGAGTCACCCCATTTCAGTTTTATAACCCAAAACAAATTGCATTTAAATTTTACTGTAAACCGTGAATAGTGAGAAGTTAAAGAGTATGTTGGTTGATGTTTAAAATTCACTATTATTTGATGCTTATCATAAAGAAAACCTGTTTAATTAGCTGTTGGAATAAGACATGATCATATTCTCCGAACGTGGGCAGAGATCTTCTGCTCATGTATTTATAACAGGAATACGAAAAAGAGCTCTCACTCCTGTTCATTTAAAAATCTGCAACCAAGCTTTTGTTGTGTATGTAAGCGCCTCCAATTTTGCAGCCTACAAAATGACATTTCGTAAATATACGATCTTTGGTTAGCGCACCGGAAGTTGGCAGCAGGTGTCACAGGAAGTGTGTGCAAGGGAATAAGAAGAAGCTAACGGAATTTAATTGCAAAAAGCCGCTCAATATTTCCGACGAAGGAAAACTAGCATATAATGTAAGATATGCATTTTACTGTTTGTGAGCAGTTTTGTTATCTGAATATTTTGATAAAAGTTTTGTTAGAGCCTCAAAAAAAGGTTATTGGTCGAGAGCCTTTGCGGCGACTAGCAAGGCGGCTAACTGTACTAGCGAGGCTTTGTTAGCCAAAATGCTATCAAGTCTCATTCTGTGGGTTTTATCCGTATTTTCAGTTAAAATACATTATTTTCTCACATTTAAGCGAGTAAGAGTTGTTGTATCTTACTTGAATTACTGTTAAATACATCCCAATTGCTATTATTCTGATAAAAGATCGCAGATGGGCCGCTCTGCTGTATATGGGGGAACAGCGAGGCCGAACTCCGTTAGAAAACCTGATTATTTAAGTCTTCATCGTTAAAATAAACAGTACACTACTTTCTTAGCAAGATTACCGATATGTATTTAAAGATTTTGTCACTCTGGATAATTCGGCGCACAACATATCTACTAAATAATACATTTTCTACTCGAAAATGTAATTTTCTTTCTCTGGAGTACTGGCCTCTTTGTCCATTGCAGTAGAAGATGATCAGAGAAAAAAAATGAACAAAACGTGATTTAAAGTGGAAAATTGATGTGCAACAAGTACTGCTTTGAGTCTTGGATGTGTTCTGATTTAGAAAGGAGCTACTGCTTACTTAGACTATATCTTGTTTTGCTATACCTACCAGAGCTAAAATGAGTGCTGCTGTGCCCAACCATCGGAGGACCAAGCCTGGTGGTAAGACTCATTTAAATTTAATGAGGCATTTGCATGCATTTTCTTGTGCCATTACATGTAATGCATTCAAATACTCAAAGCTGGAAAGGTTTGTAATATTTTTTTAGTTAACATTGGTTTACATTATTTGCTTTATGACACAATAAGAAAAGAGCAGCGACATCAGATTATTTCGTTTTATCTTCTGTAACCTGCATGTTCAGTGCATCCTTTACTCACTTGTGCCAAGAAAGCATTTAGTAGGAATAATGTAGTAGAGCAAAAATATGTAGTTTTCACTTGTTTTGCAGGCATCAAACAGGGGGTTGTGATCACAGGTGCGTCTGGACCAACCTCCCAGATCCCTGGTCTGTCCCAGAGCGCGGATGAAACTAGCCCAGAGGAGAGGACCAGTGGACGGAGAGTGGGGATATTTGAGTCTGACTCTGATTATGTCAAGCTGGCAAAGGGCGGTGGACACAAAGGTAAAATGTGTTATTTTGTCGAGGTGCTAGGGCCTTTTAAATACTGAGCTGTAAATCTGAGGTATTTTCTCACTTTGCTTCAACAACAAGTGCCTCCTTTCACATATTCAAATGAGGAAATCTGACTAACCTGCTTCTGACCCCTGAATGAGGAGAATGCAGTCAACTAAAACAGTGAAAGTCATCACATTTTGAAAATAAAACAACATCCCAGAGGATTTGTTTGATGCCGACGAGTCTTTGAAATGCAAATCCTGAACAAGTGGCTGACTTGAACTTAAAAGAGGAGATCTTTGCAGATTTTTTTCTGACGCATTTTGGGAAAACATGACAGCCACTTTTGTTTATTGAAAATGCAACATTGCTGCTTCAGTTATCAGGGGAATCAAATCATTTTTGTTGTTGTTCACACTTCAGTCTGAAAAGTTCAGTTTGAAGCTCAATGTAAAAGCTTTTTTCAGTGATTTTAGTGTTTCAAATTCCTGCTGGTCGTGGGGTGTTGTCCCACTCTTGTCTTTTCTTTCCTGCCTCTGATAGACAAATCAATACCTGAAGGAGTAAATACATTGATTGCATCAACATTATTTCTTGAGTCTTGAATTTGAGGGGAAAAAAGCTGCTGCTGAACTCCTAATATAGCACACTTATTATTAAACAATGGGAGCAATGCTGGAGGGAAGTGGGTCGTTTACAAGTAACCTGCTGTTTATTGTAGCATATGCTTTCAAAGATTTAAACACTTACTTTGTATTATAGTAATTGTTAATCCCCTGAGCTAAATGGCCTCTGAGTCAAATATCACGTTATGCTATTAAAGGTGAGCTACAGAACAATGCGTCATGACTGCTGGCTTTGTTTTGACCGTCATGTTTCCTCTTCTACTGCAGGGCTGCTGAGTCATGATGGTGATTCCGAGGACAAACCCAAGAAGGCCTACAGTCCTACCAACTGGTTCGGAGGCGATGAATCCAAGAGGTACAAACACGGTCACACGTGCAAACGAGATCAATGGAACCCCACCAGAGATGTAACAATACCTTGTTTCCCCTCTAGGATACAGATACCTAGATGTAAATACTGTCTGATACCAAGTACTCATCTTACTCAAATTCATTAAAAACCACCTTTATTTTGTTAAAATGTAACAGCTGTATGGATATAATCATGTTGCATTTGTCTTTGTTGTATGGCCTGACCCATAGACTAAATGAAGATGCACATTTAGAAACTATCAATGTTAACTTTCAATACAAATACAGACTTGTAGTGTGGGATTGATAACACAGATTGCTGACGTGTTGCTGACTAACATTACTCTCTCTGCGTGCACTCACTGTTGTTGTTGTGTGTTTTCTTCACATCAAATTTCACCTAAATCAGGTTCTTCTTTTTCCCCTCTTCAACCACTGATTCTAGTAGCAGCAGTGTGATACATGTGACCTTTGTAGGCTACATGAAGAAACAAATACTTTTATTTAAGTGCACTGAGTGAAGTTCTCTCTGATACCAGGTACGACATTTTAAGCCTTATTGGAGGCATTTCAAATGGAGGTATTGGTATCAATAACAGTCTGAAACATGTAAAGATGTTTATCAGTTTAAAAACTCAGACTTGTTTATATTGTCAGTGAAGAGACGGCTAGAATTGTTAATAAAAAAATCTCTCAGAATAACTGACACACCTTTATATGTGCTCGTTGATCCACCTGAGTGCCGCGTGAAGCACCGGTCAAAAGTACAAACCACAGCGAGAGGTTGGAAAAAGTGGCCTGCATTGATTTCTTATATCTGGTACATCACCGTGGTTTTGTATTTACAGCGGAAGCAAAGCAACGTCTCCTGACAGCCAGATGAAGGCGGGCATGCAGCCTCTGGCTGCACCGTTTGGCACTGATAACGGTTCAACCTGGGAGACTGATAGATTTTCCCCTGGTAAAGATAAGGTGAATGGACCGAACTACAGTCACAACCCAAAGTCCATCTCTTCCCATCCTTTAATTTATTTATTTTTGGCATTTATACCACCATGTTTTCCTTTTTTTTTAACCTCATTTTGCTCCATCGCCACATTAAAACTCACTTCCTGCTCGTGCTTTGGCTGTTTGATAGCTTTGAGGAGAGATTGTTCAAGTTTGAGGTAAGTTCAGAGATAGGAGCTGATTAAAAACATCTTTCTGTGTTTTTGAAGCTTTTAAATCGATCATTCTTGTTTATTTATGAAAATATTCAATATCGTGTGCAGGGCGTTTGGCTAAAGAGCTGTTTTATGACCAAATTTAAGGTAACAGTGAAGCCTAAGTTGGCATAAGAACCTGAGAATGAGAGAAAAGATGCAGAAAAGATGCATTTTTTGCTGTTTTGAAGATTAAATCTTTTTTTTTTTTTTTTTGTGGTTTGGTTCCAGCTGGGGTTTTTACTTTCTTTCACTTCCTTCAATCATTTTCAGCTGCATGACTAATTTCACATGAAGTTTTCTTCCATCATTTCATCCTTCGCTCTGTTTATTGCATGCAGTTAAATGTCAGAATCATTGTCTTTTCTTTGTTTGATCATAAATTAAATGTATAGCTTCACAAATATCGATCTTCTCTCAGATGTCTCCTGATGGCGTCACCGATCAGCTGGAGGGTCTGACTGTGGCCAACAAATACAAGCGAACGTGAGCTTCTCTTTTGTCTCTTCTGTCTTGTTCGGTGTTAAGACTTTAATCATTTCACTCGTTCTGGATTTAAATGCTGTCAAAGCCATCGATAACTGAATGTGTTGACTTGCTAATTGACATGAAAAGTAAATCAAATGTTCCCTGATGCTCTTAATTCACTCTCAGTATGACCACAGTCATAACGAAAGTGCTGACTCATGCTTTCTCTCTGCAGGTGTTATGATAAGAAGGCTCCCCCCGTCAGCATGTCCATGCTGCTGAGTCATGGCTACGTTGAGGACAAGAAGAATTCTCCCAACGATGACGATACCTCAAGTAAGAAATGCTTTCAGTTCTTTTCTGATGAATGGAGTGAAACATTTTGTCTTTTTATTATCTCATTGATGTGTTTCTGAACTTTTTATTCTTATATGGCAGAAAAAAAACACAGTGAGGTCATCAAAATCCATATATATATATTTTGATCAAACATTTTCAAGAGAAAAGCAACAACTTGTCCCACTCTAAAGAGACTTGACTTAAAATGTTTCTGAACAGGATAATTTGGGGTTCAGATGATTCATATTTTTGTTATTGAAGTAAGTATTATTACAGCTGACGGACTTTTTGATTGTTTGATGTTTTCTGAAGACGTTCATCCACTTTGATGAATTGTTTGTCTGATTCTGTTTTGCTCCTCATGTTGACGTCTGATTCGTTTTCCAGGTGTGACCTCCGAACAGACGAGCACCATCATGACGGAGGACGTGGACGACCTGGATTAGAGCTTGCAGGTTCTCGTCTGGAGGGAAAGGGAGTCCACCTAACACTGGTTCATGATTTCACAGATCCATGAACACGCCACTTCTCCCTTCTCCAAGTTCACTCTCATTAATTGTACATCCACTGACTGTTAGTTTTGTACTTATGTTTATGCAAAGGTACTGTCCTCTCTATTTATTTGCTCTGATTTGTAAAGAGAATTCACACACAGATTTTGTTCCATAGATGTGTCGGTGCTCGGTGTATTTTTTAATTCTCGATTTCTCGATTTGAAAGACGAGTTGTGCACAGGGCAGAAAACTAACGCTTCAGATCTACAGAAGCAGGTTTTGTGTGATTATTCCACTTGAATGACGCTCCTAAACCTGGCTGGAGTCTGGTGTTAGTTTCCCTCCCTGGTTGTATGAAGATCGAGTTTGTGAGTTTTCAAAGTATTTGTGCTAATGAAATGTGGTTCCAGTGACGTGAAGTATTATTTGTTTTGATCCAGGGCTCTTGCTCTGTGAAGGGGACGTCGGAGGTTTGTGTGTTCTCGGCTGCGGGGGTTTGAATGATCATTCGTACAGACAGCGACCCTGCAGCCGTGACCGCCTGCCAAGGTGCATACTGATGGCCGCAGACGGCATGGTTTAGTTTGGTTTAAGGGGCCAAAACTGATTTTTCAGGTTGCTGCTTTGCAAAAGGTTGCACTTCTTTAATTCTCCCTCGATAATCCGGTTGTGTTTGAGTCTTTAAAATCGAGAAACGTGAATATTTATGACAGCTTTTGTTCAAAGCACCAGAAAAAAAAGCCTAATTTCAACAAAAAAAATGTCTCAAGGTGCTGCAAATTTCTCTGAACTTTTTTTTTAAATGAGGAATCTCATCAGTAAACAGATACCAAATGTTTGATGCAAGTCCAAATTTGTCTGAATCTTGGGAATAAGTAGACTAAATGTGGGTGTATTCTGCATGTTTAAATCTAAATTTTTGTGTTATTGCAGCCTGATAGCACAGCACTGATGCAACGACAGATGAAATTAAGGAATGGGGGGGGGAAAGAACCACCTTTTGCAGAGCCACAGGCTGAAAAGCACGTCTGATATCGTTCCACAGTCGACTTTTAACAATGCGAGTTCTGAACATGCCAACCAAGCAGTGTGTCCCTGCTCATGCAGTGTTTTTGACTTCGTAGACATCAGTAGGAGAACGTAGTGTTAGTGCACAGCCTGCACACGCCACAACAAACGTCCATCTCATGACATTTTTTTTTTCTTTTAACTGGTTAGGAGTTTATTCTCCTCTGATGAGAGAGACGTTTCTGCAGCATCACTTTTGAAGAGGATACTTTGGTCCAGTGGTTCAGAAGATGAGGATAACATTTCCAGATTTAAGATTGGCAACATATTCTAGTCTTATGTTTCTACTTAAACTGCCAAAAATGCACAGAAAAGTAAAGCTAAACATTAATATCCACAATATCATCATGAAACAGAAATATTCTGTATATTCTATATAGTGCTTCCAATAATGAGCAGCTACCATTTGAACAACCCCTGCAGTTTCACTTTGACACCTCGGAGACCTCTTCAGAGGACGCCTGCAGGTCTGAAAAGTCTTCAATGTCATAGATATGTTATGATATTTATCGTTAGAGGTCATTTTAGTTTTATCACTGATTGGAAGCACTGAGAAATTCCCCTCTGACATTCCTTATTCCTTCGTTATTTATGTTGTGTTATTGTAAAAAATGGTATTCATGTGATACTAATGAGCCCATAAAAAGGTGAACCTGCAGGACCTCACTGACCAAATGATGGCTTTTGAAATGTTTCAAAGTCACTTGACAATTAAAAATGTCTAAAATGATAATTGGAGAAAATGTGGCTTCTGTCTTTGTCTTCGATGCTGAAGTGAAGCGCTGAGTTTTTACTCTTTCGGACATTTTAAACAAGAAGGTAGAGGGTTTAATATTTTCATGGTTGAATGGAGGACATAGGAAACAGATGAACTGGTCAGACTGGTGAGTGTGGAAGCCAGATTTTAACACTTTCTTAGTTTGCTCTGTGAATTTTAACACTTACTCAAGTTTAGTTTGGATCTTGGCTCGAGAAGTTGGCCTTGCTACTCCAGAACTCTTTGAGACCTACTTCGAGTCTCCCTTCTTTTCCTCCTTTTCTAGCATGTGTGGCTGCAGAATAAATGAGCCTGTCAGGATATCTCAAAAAAAGGTAATGGATTCTTTTGGCATTTGACGGACAGCTCAGCCCTGACTCATTTTAACGCTTATTATTTCCGAGGCGTAACTGTGAACCTGAAGGTGACAGTGAAATCCTAATCCTACGGGGACATTTGTCAGGTGGAGAAAATGCTCTTAGAATGAAAAAGGATGCTGATGATTTATTTGGGTATAACAGCCAGATTACAGCTCTGAATTTGTCCCAGTAAATCCTGAAAAATTCATCACCTTCACTTTGGAAATGATGCTGCAGAAAGCGACTCTTCCTTCAGGAGACGAGTCGTTTAACTTTACAGCGTTAGAGTTGTCACTGTTTTGCCAACAAGATCTATTTAATGCTATTTTATCGTCATCATGTGCTATTTAAAGTGTTCAAGACACTCACAGGTGTTTAGTGACACTGGATTTTATTTTGCAGAACAAGAAACTGCAAATGTATCGTCATTTTCAATAAGGGGTTTCTTTTCATGAGCTGTTAAATATTCAGAGACAGTATTTACAGTTAAAAAAGGTGTTTTTGTCAAGTGTCTCCAAGTGAGTTTGTGTTCTATAAGTTATTGAACAAATAGTGGAAACTCTTTCAAAGTCCTGCCTTTTATGCTTTCTTCATCTGAAAGTGGGTTAAAATGAAGAATAAATGTGCTGGAGGTGAGTGTTTGTAGTGACACAGCTCAGTGTAAGACCTCGCTTATCTTGATGACTGCACACTCTTAATTATCATTTCAATAAATGGGCATGTGCATGTAACCCTGTACTCTTGTCTTTTTGTCCTCTTTAACCAAACATATTCATTGTCTTTCTGATACCGTCACAATAATGTTCATGATGTCAGAATTTAAACTTTGATACAAGGAAAACGTAAAACAACATCAAAACCTCTTTCGATACCATGGCAACGAAAAATAGAAGTCCTAAGCGACCACTGTTTGGTAATATCTTGTTTCTAATTAACAATTAATTGCAGGCAAACTCCTTCATGCAGTCTAACTTGGACAAATACATTGACAACTTTTGGGTACTGAAACGTTGTCAATGTATTTGTGCAATTTAGACTCAAAGTGTTTTAAATGGTACGAAATTGCAGTCATAAAATAAAGTGAATTTAACAAGAAGATTTACAAATAAAAATAACAATTTGAATGTGTAATGTTACAATACACAAAAAGCAGTTGTTTGTTGTTTTTACTCAAAGGCAAGAATGAGCTTCCGTAGAAAATTCACTTCCATAAATTATAATGAAGTACTCCATAAACTTTTACTGTTACAGATCCTTGGGGAGTCCTATAAGGATCAGTCAAGCCTACGGTGAGGGAGGAGAAGACACACACTCACACACACTCACACTTACACGCACGCACACTTACACGCACATTCACGTGCACACACTCAAACGCACGCGCACGCTGGCTGCTGCAGGCTGCATCCTTCCTCTCCATCAGTGTTTTCACGGAGATGTACGGATCTGATCACGTCTTCTTCCGCTGCCACACCGCCGTGCACAAGTGCATCTGCGCGCTGATCGATTCCTGTATCGGAAAATAATCCGTAGCCGCATGGTGACGTCACGTCGTTGATCGGTAATAGTGGCTGGGCGGGCTGGTTGGTGGGCGGGTGGCTGTTGGGTGCGCGGATGCCACGGGTAGGTGTATGGTTGCATTGAGAGCAAACACCGGATAAGAGAAAAGGAAGATCAATTTCGCGAGAGGAGTGTTTGTGGACGAGCGTCGGGACTGTTATGTAGAAGCTGTCACGGCCGCCTGCAGGAGGAGGATGGATGCGTAACAGGACGGATCGAGCCAGCTGTGGCCTGCTTCTTACAGCAACATCTGGCCGGTGAGTCCACTGACAGCCGCAGCCGCTTGCCAGGCGCGCGGGCATTTCTGCTTGTGTGAACCGGACAGGAAGGGAGAGAGGGAAGGAGGGGAGGGGGGTGTGTGGGGGGGGGCGCTCCCCTCCTCGGTCTCTGGTCCGGGGAGTCGGTGTGACCTCGTCCTTGGTTGAGTGATTGATGTGCACGTTTGACAGACTGGCTGCGTGGCAGCATATGATGAAGGCTCATCACGGATTGTGCTCGTGCTCTTATATGCGGGAGGGAGATCATGAACGTGACATGCTGTTAAATGCCTCGTGTGCAGCATGCATGCACACCTGCAAATGCCAAACCATAGATTTAGAACTATTACAACTGGGAATAATGCTGTTACATGCATGGATTAGAAATCATCATAATACCTCGATATTAATCAAAATAAATATCAGAGAAAGAACTGTATTCTTGTATTGATCCTCTTTATCAGTCCCTGTAGACATTGATACCATAGGTGCATAAAATGCAACAATCCCAGTGTGCAGGAATAGCATGTAATAAATACACTACAAGTCCTTGCAGAGATATTTAAGAGGTTTAAACACAAAATAGCGTAGAGGTTAAGGTCACAGAGAATCCCTGCAGGATTATTATAGGAGGTAAAGCACAATATGCTCTCTGTAAACTGGCACTTTGACGGCATGACAGAGATTTTCTGATACTGGTAGTCCCCTACTTGTCCACGTCTTAACCAGCTTGTAGTCCTCCTGCAGGGTCAGAGAGGGCGCCTTAGCAGCCAGCCGGTTCTGGACGATCGCGGGGAGGAGGTGGAGGAAGAGATGGAGATGGAGGAGGGGGATGCAGAGGGGGAAGGGCCCATGGCGGTCAGAGAGGGGCCGAGCGGTCACGGCCTCCAGCGGGACAACAACAGCAGCACGACAACGACAACAACCACCAACCTCCTGGCTTCTGTCAAAGAACAGGTAAGAGGATGGAGACGCTGCAGTCACACCCTTGTTGATGTGCGTGCCGTAATTTCCCACCTATCGTTATTTAACCCACCAGTTCAATCACTTATGATCTTGACTTCTACCTTTGAGTTCACTCTTTAAATCCTGTACTAATTTTCTGCAGCTCATACCTTAACTATCTTCCCTGAGAATGTTACCTAACCCCTGACCAAATGGCCCAGAATCATCAAGGGATGTTTTTGAACACACAAATCTAACAAGAAATGGTTTTTAAAGTTATTTAATCTATCTGCGTCTCTTTGTGGTAAACTGTTGGACAATCTTTGAAGAAATGCTAAATGTCCAAGGTGCCTTGGGCCTGTAGCTTGTAGGTCTTTTGTATTGGGCTAACAGGACACCTTGTGGCTGTGATAGAGGGGAGCGCCAACCCTCTGGCTCCGCCCCTGCTCACAGGATAAATAGTGTGATGTGATTCACCCAAATTTACCAAATAATCCAGAGGATTATCTCCAGATGACACTGCACCGTAATGGGTCTCCACGCTGAGCGTTCCAAATTTACATTAGAAATTCTATTAAAATTGTCATTAATCATTTACTACAATGAGGACTTTTAATGCAACGCAGCATCAGAAAAGACCAAAAACAGTTTGAGGGACAGATTTTTGACAGGTTTCACAGGAGTATGTTTATTTGATGACTCATTTGCTCTGGACATATTTTCGATCTGAATATTTATTTGAACCGACAGCCAGAGATGTTAACTTTTGCTATTGACACATAAAAAACATCAGACTAGAGGTTCACATTAATGGAGGAATATAAAAACCGACACTTGCAGCTGCAGTGTAAAGTCGGCCTCTATCTCTCCGTCTGTCTCCCCGCTGTTATTTTTATGCTTCTGTCTATCCCGTCAACATGGGAGCCTGTCTGTTCTCCTGCTCTTAATTATGCCTGGACCGTGGCCATGTTCTCAACTTATTCCCTGGGTGTGTGACTCTGAATTCGGCACACTGCTATTTAAAGGCTTATGATGTCCAAGAAAAGAGAATCTGCTCTTACTTTTAATCTGCAATTTTCCTCGGAGCTAGCAGACAGAAATGTTGATGTGAAGTTTCCGATGTTTTGGCTGCTGTGCTGAAGCTTTGATATTCTTTTAACACAGCAGGAGGTGGCTTGTAACCCTTCAGATGTATCTAATGTCTGCTTGGTGCAGGAAACTTGCTAATTTCACACATGATGAACCATTTTCCTGCAGACGGGTCGTTTTGTTGCAATGATGGATGTGTTTGTTGCTTCATTTCTGCAGGAATTTCTGTGTTCTGTGTTTTTATCAGAGGTGAAGAAAAGCAATTACATCCAAAACTATAAACGAAACATGCATAATTCACTTTTATGTTACCAGGTCAAGAGGTGTGAAGTCAAGGGTGTCTGTTCTAGAGATTTCTGAAGAGATTTGACTTCTCATCCATAGAGGTTCTTCAGTTCTCCAGTTCTGATTGACTGGTGTGGAGTCTAATACATTCAACCTCTGCAGTGTTGCTGAGGTCACATTTTGGCTGTAAATCCACCTGACTGTCATGTGAGAGCCGTTAGAGTGACACAAGTCAAGGCTTGAATGGGCTTTGAAGTGTTTTATAATCCTGCAGGGGCAATCTGGAGGCAGGATAAGCAGCCTTCACAGGAGCCACCTCATGTCCTTATATGGAAAGACAGAAACACAAGATCTCTGCTTTGATTGCAGCCAGGGACCTTTGTTTACATGTTTATCCCTCTCTCATAATCAGACTAATAATACTTAATAAAATAATGCCTCTTTATAGAAAGTTATCTGCGTCTAATGTGTGCGAGAAGGTGCTTCGTGAGCTAACACGGAGCATAAAAAGAAAAGGAAGAGGCTGGAAGAAAACTGAAATGTGCAAGCTCCAGAAATTATTTGTTTTTATTTGTTCAACATTTAAAAGGAAAAACAAATGTTGATCATCATTCTGCATCGTATCTATGTAAATATTTGCATGTTAATGAAGAATCTGTTGGTGATGGACAGACTTTTACACCAGAAGCATGTCGCTTTGTCGTCCAAGTAACATTTTCCAATCCAATTTGAGCATTCGTTGGTGCTTTGCAGGATAATTGTTTGTGGGGAGAGCTAAGTATGTGGGAATACAATCCCAGAACCCATCAGTCATTCTCTGACGATGCTTTAGCTGTTCATTTATCTTTACTGCAGCTAACAATCTGGTGATGCATGCCATTTCTCCATTCCTACTCGGTTCACACACCTGAAGCTGCTCGTCAGACCGTAACCAAAAACAAGCAAACAAAACGTCTTGATCTGAATCATATCTGGATATCTGCTGGCTACATCTGACGCCTCTAAATATTGGCGGAAAGCTCCAAAATATTTGCTAAATCACTGCCATCCCATAGCCGTCGTGTTCTTAGACTGCATTGCTGCAAGAATTGAACCAGGTCCAAGTTTTTTGGTCCAGAAACATTGAAGTAGATGTAATAACCAGGCAGAAGCTGGTCGCAGAATATAAGCGAGAACATTGTTCTTGTCTTTGATATTTGAAGCTGCTGCCAACAGTCAACATTGATTATTAAGCGTGACCGACATCTTCCCCAACCTTTACCCGTTTAAGTCACCTAGATTTGCAGAGAAAACCTGCAGGGGCAGATAAGAAAAGACAAAAACAAACCATTTCAGAAACATTCATTTGAGTTGTTCTGCCCTCATTTGTAATTTTGTTCTGAGGACTTGCTGGAAGACATGAGCTAGGCGACCATAAAGTCTCCCCTCAAGAGAAGAATTCTTATTTCTCCTTAAAAGTCTCCTTAGAATCTGATAACAAGACAGCAAATATGGATAATTACCCCCCATCAGCCTTAAAGAAACACCCTCCGACATACAACAAGGCTCTCATTCTGAACTTTGAATCTGCCAGAGAGCAAACATGTTATAATGTCTCTTGTCTCAGACTGTTGAGCAGGCTGAGACCGGAAAATATAATCAAGTTGCTGTACAATTCTCTGTGTTGAAATGCATGCGGCAGCGCTGCTGAAGCGACAAATCTACCGCCTGCAGTTCCTCCACAGAAATGTCAAATTAGACGTGCTAAATGGAGCACATCAGTTATTGCATTCTATTGTGTTTGAGGCCTGGTGCTTTTTCACTCTGCTCTCATTTAGCCCATTAAAAGTTGGAGAGTGATCGACGTGGAGAGGGAAATACCAAATCTGGAGACGAGAGGGGAAACATAGAACCGATGCTGTGTCAGTGCTCGATTTAGTCACTTCTCGAGCAAACGCACGGAGATTGATTAGATGTTGAGACAACAGCCTGCAGAGAAGATGCTGCCAGTTGAAATATGAGTCGGATGTTGCAGCTATTTGCGTCATTGTGATAAATCAAGAGTGAAATATGTCTCTGATATGAGATGTAAACAGTTCACAGCACTGTCACAATATGATTCACAGCTGTGCTCGGAGAGTTTCTTTGCTGTGTGTTTGTTGGTGTTGACCTCCAGCTTCTGAAGTGACTCTTTAATGAACAGCAGTAATCCAATAGGAGTAAGCCATCTGATAGGATCATCTCTTGAAATCAGGTTGTGCAAAAGAAAAGGTTTATGTTATCTGATTGGATCAGGTAATCCAAACCTGGTTATCATAAATCCATTTGTGTTGTCCTGTTTTCAGCAAAGGGCGGGAATCAGACAGGATCAGGGATCAGGCAACATCTGTACAAGATAGTTGATATCTGAAGAAGATTTTATTTACACTAGAATGCTGTTTTGCTTCAGTAACAAACTACTTGAGGTCCTTGTTGGAGTTGAAAGGATGTTGTCACCACATAACGTCACTATTAAACATTACATTTCTTTTTTTAAAGCAGCCTGGAGGATGTGTGGTTGTGTGTGGATGTCTGGCCCTCTGTGGACCTCATATGTGAAGTCCCCTCAAAGCTCTTCAGATGTATTAATCTTTAAAGTCTGTATCTGGATCAGGTTGATCTGATCTGTTTCATTATTAAGAAAATCAGGATCAAAGTCAGCTGGATGATGTGATCCTTAGTAGAAAACAGTGGATTCATAAATCTTTATGAATTAAACCTTTAAGCCTTTCTAACTGTGCCCCGATGATCACATCTTTCCCTTTTGTCGAAAGCATCTGTCAAGGAAAGACTTTGGTCTTTGAAATATGTTTATTCTTTTCCTGCAGAAACTTTAATGAAAAAGTTGATCCCGCTCTTGCATCTGCAGCTTTCAGCTCATTAGATCTGCCTAGCACAGAAATGGGAGCTGGGGTTTTCTAGGAAGGAGCAACCAGTCTAGACTCCACTTGAGAATTTTAATTTTTACATGTCTGACCTGAAAACATTGTCTGGAGGACAATTTTCTGGACTCACTTTCTTATCTTGCTGCCACCGTGACCAGATAAGGAGTAGAAAATGGATACATGGATTCATTTGACGTATAAGAAATTGAGCTTTGACACAGACGGATGAGCAGTTTTCAACTGTTTCTAGTCTTTAAAGTCTCATCAAACTCTCAGACTTAAAGAGAAAAAGCACTTTTGGTCAACATCTCCAAACATAACTTTAAATGTCTTTTGACAACAACATTGGAAATGTAATGGAAAACATATATAAAGCACCAAACAATGCAATGGAAGACTTTTGTTCAAACATTTCTTGTTACTATCAAACATACTTTTCATCCGTTTTTTGCAGGAATTCATTAAAGTGCAACTTCAAAGCCATAACTACACCATTGAGTCAGTTGTAAACATTTGACTATCTTCTTCCTCATTGTATATTTTTCTCTGTACATCAGCTCAAATGCATTTAATAACTTTGGTTCTTTGCCCACATTGTAAAATAATACTCTGATGGTTTCAACAATTCTTGGCTGCACAGCTGTAGCTTAAATTTGTGGCTCCAACAATCGCTTCAGCGTGGGCAAGCAGGTCAATAAACCACAATAACATCACACTAATTCCCCCATTGGTCTG